CTTTTGAATCTACAGATAGAATGCACAGACTTAGAGTTTATCATTGTTCAAACAATGAAAAATCACCTCTCATCTATAGAATTAACATAATGAATGATATTTTATTATATGGTTCTTGCATCTTATATATATTTATATAATTATATCACATTTATAAAATTTATCCGTACTTAAAAGTATCCGAAATTAAGCTACTTATCTAACAAAAGGGCGATTAATTTCGAATAATACGGTAATTAGTTTGTTCCAAATTTCAATATCAGATATCTTGGTATAGTCAATGATGAAAACAAATATAGCTCACATTCTAATGCGACTACTAATTTTTTCCACTAATAAACTAGAGTGTAAGTCCGTCATTAAATGACGGGATATATTGCAACTCATAAAAGTATTAGAACCATTGTTCATGATGAATTTGAAATTTAATTAAAGGTCTAAATCCAATATTACTATACGCTCAAATTTTACACAAATCTGCAAGGACATTGACCTCTATAGAGATTTCAATATACATCATTCCATTCCTGAAGAGAGCCAGACATGTTTCTTATTTTTTCTTCTTCAGTTAGCTCATTTTCTGCAGCTATAACCAATCGAAAATAGTATAAGTTAATTAGCATTATAAAGCAATTGTAGTGCTGATAATGATACTAAATTTTTGATCCTACTATATTTGAATATATTAAGATTGCTAAAGCCTACTTTTATTTATATATCTAACCAAAAATAAATTCTTAAAATTTTTAAAATTTAATTTAAATAGGCCCATTATCAGCAAATCCCTGGAATAAGTTATGACGAAAATAAATTTAGCTACTCACATTTTAACAGAGATAATAATATTTCTTCATCAATGAATGGAAGCTTACAATTTTTTTTCGTAGTTTCAGGATAAAAATTTTTAATGCTGGGATCATTCATAAGGTCCTAAATAGAATAATGTTATAGTTTAAATAACTTAATATAATCTCAATTAAATGAATTTATATACCTGATATGCTTTCGGTAAAAGACCTTTACTTGTAGGAGGTAAAACAAACATTAAATGTTCGAAAGGTTTGTAATAGTCTTCCACATCAAAATTTATTTCACCCATTTTCAAATCTTGCAAATCTAAAATAAAAGATTTAATAGGCTATACGCATGTAAATATGTAAATATCATTTTATTATTTAGCAAGAATTTACCTGATATCATTGGCGAACAATGACCAGGATAAACCCATCTGCGAGATTTTAATGCACCATTATAATAGGAAATTATCCATTGTAACCCTTCAATATACGATTGAATTAAACTTTCTCGATCATGATTCCGATAA